CACCTATTTCCTTTTCCGGCGGACTGTGAACGGAACTCTCCAGCTCTCTTCACTCACAACGCTGCTCTGTGTGTGTGTGTGTGTGTGTGTGTGTGTATGTGTGAGAGAGAGAGAGAGAGACACAGAGAGAGAGAGAGAGAGAGAGAGAGAGAGAGAGAGAGAGAGAGGGAAACAGACAGAAGGTGCACTACGGCACCCCGCATGAACCCACCTATTTCGTTTATGGTCCGCGTGTGAACGGGACTCTCCAGCTCTCTTCAGGCACACCACCACCGAGAGAGAGAGGGAGAGAGACACTCCAAAGCACGTCCTGAGCGCCTGAGGATGTACCGCTGGAAACCGCTGGGAAATTTTAGGGTTTGTATGGTCTTCCCTAGACTCAGCTACCGATCCGACGGTGCTTACGATAAGTACTTTTTCAGCTTACCATAAGTACTTTTTCAGCTTCCACCGGATCCCACTTGTTGCCGCAGCAGCAGGAGACGCCCGCACGATCACCTACGTAGCCTTCAGGACTTGGGGTGTCGTGGCACGTCGCGCGGATTCCGCTCCACAAGAAAATGTCCCATTTTCTTTTCTTTTTTGTTTGTTTTATTGTTTGTTTTACCCCGCGCGGATTCCGCTCCGCAAGAAAACGTCCCATTTTCTTTTCTTTTTTGTTTGTTTTATTGTTTGTTTTATTCTTCTCTCGATCTCAACCTGAGAGTGGAATGACCTGTTGTACTCCACCACATTGGACCCTTCGGGAACATGGTATGCATCAAACGTATCCAATCGGGTTATTTAGAGACCTCTGGACCACCAATTAAATGCCCAAGGCTCTTTCCAAGCTTATTCTGTACTCCCCTCTAAGGTCTTAGCCACAGATCCCACTTCTTATAAGTAGGGCACTTTCAGGCAAAATTTGGGATCCTATCCTGTCCCAAAATGTCGTGGAAGTGGAAATTGTACGTGGAGGCGCTGTCGAACGCATCGGTCCCACGTAGGGCGGGACCCTCCCGGCCTCGTCACGCAGGAGTTAGTCTACTCGCGATACACAAGGAGCTTTAGTAAGCTGCTGCGGCCGAGTGCGCCAGCCATACCTCTCGCGAGCCCCTACAACAGGATAGGGTCAACGCGAGGTACAACTTACCTCCAGCTGCGGGAGTTGTCACCTTCCTTCGGTGGGCGTATTCCTGTCGAGCTACCAGTTCACATTACGAAAGTTAATCAGTTACAATCGCAGAGGTGGACCAGCCGCGGGCGTTTCTCGTTTGCTGCCTCATAGGGGGTACGAGCGGTCTCACGCCTCTATTGAACCCACATGCGAACCGACGTGCGGTCCCACACCTTTATCGAACCCGCACGCGGACCTTTTCATATCTACTAGCAATGCATGCTCATGCAAGCGGTCGCAATGATGGTGTACTATGTAGTACCCATAATCACGCGATCCTCGATGACCTCGAGGGTCGCGTTCGACACTCAAGTGTCGACTGACATGCGCCTTAAGGGGTTAATCTTTCAATGCTAGGCAATCTGTCAAGGCGGTTGATCACCACACCCTCTTCTGCACCCTGCAGAGAGTGGGTGATACAAAGGTTCATGTCTGTGATGACAGTCGTTTCTTGAGGTCTTGGAGACAAGCTCCATCATCCGAGATATGGAGAGAGATCAAAGGGTTTTACTTTGACGGCTGTCACGAACATCAACGTCCAACTATGAAAGTTAACAAATAAAATCAATCAAAAGAATAATCAATAATCTCAATATCCATATATTAAATCAGAACTCGAGATAAAATAAAGAAAAAGGAAACATAAACTCATCAGGTGTACAGATCATGCGACACATGGTTGTCATTCTCAATACCTCCAGAGTAAGACTCGTACGCAGACTCCAAGATACTAACCTGCATAAAACATAAGCACAAACGAACGTCATATTGTCATACACCAATGTGGTTAAACCACCGGTCCCCCCGCCGTCAAAAACCACTAGTCCCTGGGAGTTAGGGCCGGGTTGTACGGAGGGGCGGCGACCGTATGGAGGCGCTGGGTTGTACGAAGGGGCCGACGGGTCCAATCCCGCCATTTTGCAAGTGACAACTTTTTCGATTTTTTTTGCTCAAAACATTCACCAAAATGTCTGGTTATAGATTGAAAATATTTTTTCATTATTTACGGTCGATTTTTTTTTATATAATTATATGTGGTCGTTTAACTTTATTTTGACCGGTGTCTAAAGGGACTAGGATATTGTGGGTTTTATACTTGGTTAAGACCGTCTTAGTCGACAAACGTATGCTTCGTTTCTTAGAAAATCAGCGTCCTAATGGACGAACGACGTCCAGGTTCAATTGGCATTTTAATCGTGCGTACCTATACTACAGCGAGCGAACAAACGCCCTCGACTGACCCACCTCTGCAACTGCATGTAAAAACTTTCGCACGTGGGTCAGTAGCTCGGTAGGGATATGTCCCTAAGGGTGGTGACAACCCCTTAGGGAAGCAAGCTTATGCCCCGTGGGAACCTGTCCTGTCGTAGGGGACCGCGAGATGTACAACTGAGGCACACCGGCTAGAGCGGCGAAGGGGCGACATGACCATGACAGTCTCGGCACTCCGCAAGATTAATTATGAGTCGTCCCTAAGTTGTCTTTATAGTTTCTGTTTAAACTCCTGTGTGACATGGCCGGGAGGGCTCCCCCCTCTTCGCGAGAAAAGACGAGGGCCGACGCTCGCGACAGGTGGTCCCGTTGCCGGGGATAACGACAAACTACCGTTGTCCCTGGTGGAATGACACTCGGGGATGGATGATGTAAAAATTATATTTTCTTTACTTGGCTAAGAGGAAGGTTAGTAACTATGACCTCTATAGGGAGGAAAGGGGTAACTCCTTCTTGTACTCTATATTGTGGTTCATTTGGTACTAACTTTTATCTTGGACTCGCAGAGGAAGTATAGTCTTAAAAGTCATTTTGATAATGACTTTTACTTTCAATAACTGTTATTATGACTTTTGTTCACATTCATTTGTAAGATACATTGATACATGATTAAACATTTGTGGTATGTTTTCATTGATGGAACGACATCCGGGTACGTTATTTTGATGCTTAAGCATAATACTTGCAAGTGAGACCTGAAATTGTTTTGATAGTTGTTAAATTATCAACCAGATAATTCGATCATTAATATAATTTATGCATTTTGCAGGGCGATAAAATGACGGGAGAAACTTTTACCCACGTGCCTCTCTTCAAAGGTAGCGGGGTTGTTTAATTCTTACAGGTCTTTCAGACTCTGACAACACTAATGCTCTAGGGAGAAAATCACAAATTCCTTTTCATTTTGGGGTTTGTGATTGAAGAATTGAAGGTTGAGGTTGGACATCTTCTACGCGCTTCTGGAACCTGGAATGAGTTCGATAAGTTTATGATTGTCAAATTATTGAAACCAGTCGAAGGAGAGAAAAATGAAGATAGCATAAGTCATTATCATGAAGATATTACTGAAATAACTCGGCTTGTAGAACAGAGGGATGTGGAAAAAGAAAGTCTGCGAAGAATAGACATCCCTCTCTTCGACGATAATTTTGTTTCTACTTTCCTTGAAAAGTTTAAGCAGCTTGCGTCCATCAACAATTGTGATGAGCCCCAAATATTGAAAAAGATTCTTAGATATGTCGAAAAAAAAATTGTGAACGTAATCTTACAAATAGCCGGAATATAAAAAACTTGGTCTGATTTTCGAGATGCCATGTTATAAAAGTTTTGGCTGGGAGACACAGTAACAACAATTGAGGATTTAAAGAATGTCAAATGCATACGTGATAAAAGAAAAGTTTCTGGCCGAGTTTGAACGGACTGCTTGTTGGATATAGGGTTAGCAGAAAGACAAAGATGTCTCATCTTTCTTGCAAATTTTTCTGAGGGAGAACAATATGAACTTATCCATGAGGTAAACGGTAAATCTGAATGGGAAAGGATTCGTTTAAATTTTAGTAATGGAAACTTTGACCAGGTTCTTCGTATGCAACTTTGCTTGCAAAACTCTGGGAGGGAGTGTCAGGTTGATAAACGAAAGATAGATTCAAATTTCGTGTCGAATCTCTCAAAAATTAGAGAGATGTTGAAAGAGATAGAGGACGATTCTCATCGTGAATACTGGAAGGCAAGGATAAAACAACCTTTGGATAATCCATGTGAGAAAGACAAGAGAAGTAGGGAGAATTGTTTAGATAGTTTTTTAACGTCAACTGCTCAAAGACCAGAACATTGCGAGTCAGCGTCTCGAAATTAACGAGACCAGCGAGTAAAGAAATAAAGATTCTATTGGAAAAATATTATTTGTAAGAGATGTGGTAGTACCGGACACACTTCAAGTAGATGCAAGGGATTAACGGTTCGGAAAAAATGGATTGTTAAAAATTCTGATTTCATTTTTTGAGTTCACAATGAAATCGAAATATTCTTTTGTAAGATTAATAATGTTAACTGAATGTTGATATTTATCTTTGATGAGATGAGGATTCTATCTGATTTGACATATCCTTTTATTCATGTTATTATTCTTTGAAAAAATTATTTGTTCTCTTTATTGCTGAAGAATATATGATATAGATCATTATGAAATTCCATGTGAAAGCATTTGTCGTGAAATGTTTTGTTCTTGTGAGTATTTGGTTGAATGTAAGTTGTTAAGAAATTGTCAATTTGTAGGTAGACGACTATGGTTGCTACTAGGGGAGAAGTGACTGCCTCTCCTAGTGTCACGCATAGTCACCGTACCTCTGTAATCACGGTCTAGCCAACCTTGGTTGTAGAAGGTAAGGTTGTTTCTACTCTACATGTGACAGATTGATGAATGAAAGCACTGAAATTTAGATGGAATGTGAGGGAGTTTGCACTGCAAGCAAGAGATAGTTATGAATGGATCTCATTTATTTTAGGATGAGTATTATGAAATGTTGTGGCAATTGCTAAGGAATGATTATTGAAGAGCGGATTGACTCCCATCAGCAGACTGGGAAGTGACTTTCATCAACAACTGGGGACTTGTTCCCATCAGTAGACTGGGAGGTCATTCCCATCAGCAAATGGGGAGTCATTCCTATATTGATGGAATGAAAAACCCACATGGGGTTTAGCCTGTGAAAGACTGCGGACTGGCTCCCATCAGCCAAGTGGGGAGTGACTTCTATCAGCAACTGGGGACTTGTTCCCATTAGTAGACTGAGAGGTCATTCCCATCAACAACTGGGTGGTCATTCCCATATTGATGGAATGAAAGACCCACAGGGGGTTACGCTTGTGAAAGACTGTGGACTGGCTCCCATCAGCAGACTGGGGAGTGGCTTCCATCAGCAACTGGGGACTTGTTCCCATTAGTAGATTGGGAGGTCATTCC